GTTCTGAGACCTGGCGTAGCCCTGTGGTAAAATGCTTCATTGCCACGTAGAATGCTTGGATTTGATTCCAGCTAGAGCCCGGACATTTATTGTTTCCATTCGTCGGGTTGACGCTACCGATTTAGGTTATTTCTTAACGCTCACACGTTAAAATTGCCCATGTGGAAGGAGGAGGAGGAAGCAACAAGAGGGGAAGGCAGGGAGGTTAACCAGAAAGACATCCGGTTGGCTACCCTACACTGGGGGATTAGGGAAGGGCACAAGAAAGACGAGAAAGAGGGAAGAGAGGGAAAAGCAAAGAAAGGGTGGGGGAGAGACTGGCAGAAATTTCACTGCAGCGTGTAGAACTGTCAGAGGCGTTCACACAAGCCTGTCTTTCTCAGGAAACACAGCAGGGCTTTCACTGCCTTGTGGGCTGTCGAAGCATGTAGACGTTGCTGTAATAGCACCTGCACAGAAAAAGGCCGATCATCCAGTCGCCGCATTGCGTTGGCAAGTACTTGTCTATCTGCGGCAAATCGAGGACAATGGCACAGCAGGTGTTCGATATTTTCGTCGGTGCTGCAAACATCGCACGCCGCACTGTCAGTAATTCCGATTAACGTGGTATAACCTTTGGTGAAAGCAACTCCCAGCCAAAGGCGATAGAGAAGCGAAGCTGCACGTCCATGTAGGCCGGGTGGAGGCCGGAGTTGTAGTGAAGGGTCGAGCTCGTTCAGTCTTGTACGCCGTATGCTTGGTGTGTTCCACTCAGTCAGTGTCAGACTGCGGGCCAGTTGACGAATCTGCCTCGTCACATCCGCTCTTGAAAGCGGAATCGGAACGCTGTTCGCTTCTTTATGTGACGTGCGAGCAGCATGATCTGCAGAATCATTGCCGCCTATACCACAATGCCCAGGTAACCACTAAAAGACGATGTCGTGGCCTTTTTGTATTAAAAGATGGTGAAGTTTCATGGTTTGGTAGGTCAACTGGTCGTGGCATCCGCGTCGGAGAACTGATATCAGGCACTGTAACGCTGGTTTTGAGTCAGAAAACACAGCCCATTTACCTGGTCTTTCTTCTGAATTTATGAGTTCCAGTGCATTGCGCAGAGCCTCGAGTTCTGCCGTCGTTGACGTTGTCACATGTGATGTCTTAAAACAACGAGTTACCCCTTGTGATGGTGTAACCACTGCTCCACCTTAACTAGACGGCGTAGTAGAACCATCCGTGTAAATGTGCACGTGGTTACTGTAGTTTTGTTCCAGTAGCAATAGACTCAGTTGTTTCAGGGCATGTGTCGGCAAGTCCGATTCTCTCCTCATTCCTGGAATCATTAAGTGAACTCGTGGCGGCTCAAACTCCAAGGAGGAAGCAGTGAGATTGATGCAGGTACGTGCGTCTCAGTAAACGATGAATGATACTTGTAGATAGTAGTGCCGTATGTCGTGCGGGGCCTTTCAGCAGCCTGGCTCGCCAGGTGGTGAGAAGGGGTCCTGGGATAGTGCCTGAGGTGCATGCGCATTGTCTCGGTAATAATATGCGTCTTTATCGAGTGATCTTGAACGATGGCAACGGTTTCAGCCGTTGAAGCACTTCAGGGTAATCCAAGGCATATCTTAAGTGCCTAGACTTGAATTCTCTGAATTGCGCGCAGGTTGGTCTTGCCGGTGTAAGATAATGCAGGTTAGCTGTACCGTAAGAATCCGATAAACAGCACTCATGTGTGTTCTCATCGTTCATGGATAGATACTATGTTTCAATAACCAGTGGCACATACCCGCATACCAGCGGCACATACCCACCCCTGGGTATGTGCCACTGTCTGACGGGACGTCTTTGACGACTTACGTGACGGAATTATGACATTAATCAGATCTTGAACAGCGCGTCATATTCGTGACGCCATGTTACCCTCCCATGCTAATTTTGGTTCACGCCAAGTTAAGGGGGTGACCACGAGAGCAACCAAACGTAAGCGGATAGATAGATAGATAGATAGATAGATAGATAGATAGATAGATAGATAGATAGATAGATAGATAGATAGATAGATAGATAGATAGATAGATAGATAGATAGATAGATAGATAGATAGATAGATAGATAGATAGATAGATAGATAGATAGATAGATAGATAGATAGATAGATAGATAGATAGATAGATAGATAGATAGATAGATAGATAGATAGATAGATAGATAGATAGATAGATAGATAGATAGATAGATAGATAGATAGATAGATAGATAGATAGATAGACAGATAGATAGATAGATAGATAGATAGAAACGCTCAAAGTCGCCGAAGTTCGCTAAGAAATGCTTCGCATTTACAAACTGTGACAAACTTGCCCTTTTTTCTCTTAGATTGTTTGAAGCTCTTATAGATAACCTATCAGGGACGCTAGAGAAAGGTCTAGCTTTTTTTTTACATTCGCAACTCCGGTGCACGTTCAATCGGAGATTAGCGGATTTCAATTTTAACAATTTTTTGTGTTGCTGCATATCTGTACGTTGGTAACAATATTTACATTTCAATGAGTACTGTGTTCATATTATTCACGTCATTGTCTTGATATCTTTCTTTTATAGAGCTAACCAATCACCCTCTAGCATTATATACACATACTCTATTTTACACATCTTAAGTAAAGGGTAGCGAACTGTAGGTGTTCAGTGGTTAAGATTCCTTCATTGTTCTTGCTCTTACTCCTACGACTATCGCAACGTTTACAGGTTGACCTGAATAGTCTAACAGATTTGTTCCTGACACAATGTGAGGAACGGTCACTGCAATGGTTCCTGTTTTTTTTTTTTCATATAGCTCCTTGTCAAACTTTTAGCTCAATAATCGCTTATATAAAGCGTCTTCTCTAGTGTCTAAAAAGAACTGGAAGTTAGTCGACATGAGTTGGAATGGGGGCTTGTTGGTCATGAATTTCAATGAATTTTTTGTAGTGCGAAGCGAAAACGGAAATAGGAACGGATAAGCGAACAGAATAGAGCGCTACTAGCAACAACATATTTATTTTCGAAGACAGACTACTCTTAAGCCATAATCGTCAGGCAGACAGATGAGCACGTGGGATCACTCATGTAATCGTGTGACAATGTCATCTACCTAAAAGAAAACACACCAGATAAAGCCAAGTATCACTGTACGCAGAAAACCAAGCTCTTCGGGGGAAAATGCAATTGAAAGCTTGCTGATACAAAGATCGCCTAGAGCGTCAATAAGTACGGCTTACATGATCAAACGAGTTATCTTTATGCCGACCAACAATAATTGTATCCTACATGGAATAAAGGCCGAACTAGTAGGTGGGTGATGATCGACTGACAGAGCACAGTTGCAAGTTGAACAAACGGCCACCAGAAGGTTTTCTCGTTCTTCATGCATGTGGTTGCAGGCCTTTGTTCCAGAATACAATCATTGTTGGTCGACATAAACATGAGTTTACTCATTTGATCGGGGAAGCCGAACTTATTGACACTATTTTGATCATGCTATTTTGCATTATCAGGGACCACAAGTTTGTATCACCACAAAATTTATTACGTAGAGTAGAGCTATCACTTTTTTATATTTTTCTCTCTTTTTGTTTTACAGTCCCCATGCCCCTTCCCCACGCAGAGTAGCTAGTCAGCATGTTACACACGCCGGTCAAATTCTCTGCCTTTCAATATAAAGTTCCCTCTTTCTTCTCATAGTAATCTATGTGAAGGGTCACATAACCTACGTATACGTCACTATAAAAGGCATAAGCTCATCATTGGAAGCAAGATGGAAGTTGCAGCCTTGTATAAGCCAAATCTGCTTATACATCGGCTCCAGAGACAGCACATGTTCATGAATTGTTCGCCTTTACGTGCATGCATAAACGATTGCATCGAAAGTTAACCCCGGTGAGAAAATATTACGATGATGACCTCCCGCCTGGCGCTAACCCTAGGCTGTCGCGCGGAGCTTAGGGAATACCAATCCCAGCAAGCCTCTCGACGAAGGTTGTAGCAACAGCAGAAACTATCAGGGCCTGAGTGCGACAATTTCTGCCAGTAGCTGCGTACGCCTCTGGTGTAATTTCACACGTAGAAACTAGGGTACCATGGCTTTTAGCCTTTTAGCCTGCATATCTAGAATCGGTGTGTAAGACATGTAGGACAACAATAATGGTTAAGAATCAAATAGAAATGTCCCGTAAATTAAGGAGGAGAAGGAGGGGGATGAGGAGGAAAGTTTAAGCGGAAGGACAGAGAGGTTAGCTAGTTCTTAGACCGGCTGGCTACCCTGTGCTGGGGAAAGGAGTGAGGGGAATGCAGATGATAAAAAAAGTTGCGAGCAGAGAGCGAGAGAAAAATTACAAAAGAATAGCGACAGAGGAAAGGCAACATCAAAGAGTATAAGACACTCAAGTCTGTCTCTCAGGGCAGTTGTCCGCAAAAAGCATAGCAGAGCTTTCAAAGCCTTCTGGGCTGAGGATGCGCCCGTAAATTGAAGTTCAAAAGTTCAATATTAAGCACTTCAAAACGAAGCTCTGGATGCCTCATCAGCTGTACGGTAAAATAACCTAAAAGTATCATTGACGGACTGCCATGAGAGCATCAAAAGTCGTTTAAGGAGAGCGTTCGTCTCGGAAGTCCTGGGCAGATGCCACGGGCGCCGTAAGTAACTCCTACACCTCATCACTCGGAGGAGGTGGTGAAAGCGGCGGCGAACGCCACTCGGGTCGGCATGCGGCGTCGAGCGACGCCTCTCCGGTGCAACAACCACCCGCTGCCGCGTGCGCTCGCGCTCGCGGCGGAACTGGGCCAGGCGAGCGTGGTCGTGAGCCGCCGGTGGAGTCCCGTTAGCGGAGAAGTCCAACGGGGAGCCGAAGAAGGGGGGACGCCCTTCCCCTCGCCAATGCAGCTGGCCTCCGCTCGTAGTCCTTCCTCGTCCCGGAGCCCTTGCCGCCGCTGTTCCCTCTCGCTTATATATAAAAACAGGTCCCCTGAATCTAGACCGTTTCCCAAGAGTCGGCCATCGGACACTGAGTCTGTGCGACGTGCCTTCTCTGCAGCGACAACACTGCACGCCTCGACGTGCGCCCAGGAGTCCACGTCGTCGCGGCATCCCTCCAGCGAAGGCCAGCGGGAGTGTTGTTTTCCGTGCGCGTTCTGTGGTGGCCCCCTCTGACCAACAACAGTGCGTAGCGGCCCGAAGACGTGCGAGTGACCGCGCCAAGCGGACTACCCATCGGCACCGTCCTTAGACTGTGCCGCCGGCGTGTTACCACTGCCCTCCTGGTTGTCTTGACCGTGAGAGGAGAAGGATCCCGTGTTGTCGACGACGAAGAGAGAAGCCGTCCACGATGATTCTTAGGTAGGTGCCACCCGCCAAACCCGGGGTTCTTCTGTCACCCGGAGCCCGGTGAACGCAAGTCATCGGTGCGGTTTTCCCGATAGGGAGAACCGTCTCGCACGCTTTGGAATAGCTGCTCAATTTCTTTTTTTTTTTTTTTCTTCGAAGCGCCTTGCCCAAACCTTTGGATTACAGGATGCTCTGAGGATAAACTGCACTTCGTGGCGTATACGGTAGGTGATCGCGACTCTAAATCGTCTGCCCGATCGTCGTCCTGTTCTGGACTTTGCCATAGGCGATCAGCTGTGGCGATCATACAATCCGTTCCCGCGTGTCGCTTGCCGCGCGGTGAAATTTCGCGTCAGCTTGCTTTTCTGCGTGAGATATTTTGTCAGTGGAACAGTCCGTTTATGACGATGTCGTCCTACGGCTGCTTAGCGAGAGATGGTCCCGCTGATTCCGGACCGCGTCGCCTCGTTTGCATACGCGGTCAATGTGCGCGCCGTGCTGCTGAATCGTGACGATGCTGACTCGCTTCTTTCGTCACGCTGTCCATTCATAACACGGCCCAGGGTAACGTCCGTAAGCTGGGCGAGAAAATTGAGAGTCTTTTTCAGTTTCTAGATAACTTCTCGACACTTTTCGCCGTGTTGGATGAAAGCCGCATTGGATTCTGCCTTTATGGTTAGATACAAACGTAGTTATTGTACATAGCAGAGAGCAGTTAGTGTTCAAGCGAGAATGTATATTGTTGGTGTTTCATTTGCCAAAACTATGATTTACTTATGAGAGACACCGTAGTAGTGAGAATTTCGATAGTTTGGGGTTCTTTAAAGCACACATAAATCTATGGAAACGGATCTCGAGGAAATTAACCAGCAAAGAAATGAGGCCGCGGCTGGCATTCCACCCAGCGACCTTCGGTCGAACCACGAGAGTTTATGAAAAAGGTAACCTCGAACGACGTGATGATTCGCGTCTAACTTGACAGTATAGTCAGATTGAGCATACAATAATTAGCACTCAAAACTCGTTCTCATGTCACGTTTGCTTGGTAACAGCTGCGTAAACGCGGATTATGTTTGTCTTAATCATAAGGAGATGTTTAAAATGTTTGCTCGAGATTTATCACCGATAGTTTTCGCAGATGAAGGTAGAAATAGGTATATATATATATGCATGTGTCGATGTTGCACGAGTTCAGGAAACAGCTACCGATCATAGTAATGTTCCGCATATTTCCACACCGGAAATAACTATTTATTTCGGAAGGCGCGGAAGAGATTAAAAAAAAAAACGCCCGCTTTACCTGTGTTTCGACGAGCGGCAGTATACAATGTTGCTTCAATTTCGTCAGTCGTGCCACACTATGCATAACAGCACGACCGAAAGCACTGATTTACCAAAGCGATAAAAAGAAATGAACAATGCGCAGTTTTAGGCCCCACATTTTGCCCTGGCTACTACATTCCTTGTTTCCGCAGTGGAAGAAAAAAAGAACGCGTGCACGTTCGTTTTTCGGAAGAACATTTATACATGCACGCACGCAGATTGTCTTATTTCGTCATCGCGTGCGGGGTCGCATGAGTGGTTCACCTTTTCGATGGCGGCATTTCGCGTTTGCGCTCTGCCCTCTCGAAAACGATCTACGCCAGTCGTGCGGCGCCGATGTTTCAACAGGTTCCTTTTCTACTTACATCGTCGACAAATGACGGGGTGCGCGGCGTGCAAGCAGCAACGAACGACGACAAAATGCACCCGGTATACGGGCGAAGGAGAGGCGGTCGTCAATTCGCGAGATTCGCATTTCTCTCTCGTCGTTACTTCGCCGATCCGGTCGCGGCGCGAAGGAAACACGAACGCGTAGCGTCGGGAAAGCGGGAGGCATGTAGCGAGCGTCGACTTGTGGCCCTAACAAAAAGATTATACAGCGCTCCCTCAGTCCACCGGGACGAGAGCGCTGAAGAAGCCGAACGAAATCGCGGGGAAGAAGAGCACGGACGTCGCTGTGCAGTCCATGGGTACGAAGCAAGGAAAGACGCGCAGGCAAACAAAAAGAAACGTGATGGCCGCGTAGCTACGTGGCAATGACCGTGACCAATCGCTCGAATCGTCCACGAGCCAGCGCCGCCGTTCGCTGACAGCACAAGGCAGCAGCGACGTGCCGGCCGCTTCACCTCAGTGACGACGGGAGGCAATGCCAAGCCACGCGCGTAGCAGACAGCCTAACCCGCGTGTCGCTCTTCTCGCTCAGCGAGATTTCACGGGACGAGAAAGAGTTTGACCACTGCTATTTGGCGCACGTGTGTGGCTGATTTGAAAGGTAGGCGCCGACAAGATTGGCGCGAGCGAATCCCTGTAGCTTCTATACGTAGGCGACAGCGTGTTGAGAAGTTTCGCGCAAGCTGTCCCAGTCGAATAGGGACAGAAAAGCCGCCCTAACGCCCGCCTTTAGCGCGGCTGTTTTGCCTTTTGTAAAGCTGTGCGGGTTTGTAAGATTCAAAGAGGCGTATACGAAACTCCAATGCGTTGTTCGCAATACAGCGAGCTTGGTTCAGATCGCGTGCTTCAGGAGAACACACCACGCTATTAAGTAATGACACACTATTCAGTACACGAATGGTCGACATTTCCGGAGTCCTCTAGAAAGGTGTCTCTTTTAGTTATATCGTTGTTTTCGGACGTAAATCCCCACATATCTTTTTTTCAATATTAAAGATTCTAAGAGGTTTGCAATTTGCAGAAGAGAGAAAGGATCCCAGTTACAATCACGACATCGAAATTAGCGATCGACTGCACAGATATGATAGATAGACAGATAGATTGATTAAAGTAACCTTATTGGAGATATGTTACATGCTTCCACAAAAATCTTTCGCATCTTATTTAAATATTTTAGAGTGCACATAGCTAGCAACGGTGGACATTAAAGGATCGCCAGTTAACTAATACACGACTTACGGGAAAGAGGAAATCCAAAAATTGTACACAGCGAATAGAGTAGCAATTCCAGAAAATAAAACATAATAAATGAGACAGACTTCCATCGAGATTGTGGGCATCGAGTCCGAACGATCTTTTCTGTTACCAGGACGGCCCGCCCGCTTAGATCCAACACAAATGGTGCACCTTGAAACGTAGACCATTGTTTCTGCATTTCAAGAAACAATGATCCAGCGTCAAAATGGCCCGTCTAAGTATATCTTACCTCGAATATACCGTTATTTAGGTCATAAGAAAAAGGAATGGTGCATAAAACAGTTGGGTGGCCGCCAAAATACAGCATGCAAAATAGTATGCGTCCGCAACGCTTTCCTAAATCGAACGTTGAATCTGTACTTCTTTTCGACTTCACTTTCTACCGCAGGGCGTCACTAATGGCCCCGCTGGTGCAATGATACGCACAGACGAAGTTAAGCTCGGCTGCATACCTCTGGCAGCCGAAGCTGTAAAAACAATTCGTCGCCAGATGCAGAAGAGGGTGGAGAGCTACGGTCGACCACGTCCATCCCCTTCGTCTCCTTCGCATACGTCGGACACGTGAGGACGCGCTCCAAAACGAAAAAGTAAAGTAGCGAGGACGTCTGATCACGACTACGAAGCCAAGAAGCACGTGTAAGGAGAGTTGAGAGCGGCCGTGTATATAGTTGAAAGGGATAAAATACGGCACTCTTCAGCGCTGCTTAAACCCTCGCGCTGAACCTGTTCTCCGAACAGCGGTAGTCACGGCGGCTTCGGCAGCCCAAACACAGCCGGTAGCAGTCGAGCTCCAATCCTCGATCAGTCGCGCTGTAGCTGCCGTTGTCGCGATCGCCGCCAGTTTCCTCGGAGTGATCCGCATTCAGTCCGCCTCTCGAAGCGCTTTCTCTGGAGAGATTCCACCCCGATAGACGCGAGAGAGCGGTGCGCCACACACACGTACACGGAGTGAAGTGGGGCGGGCATTCGCTTGTGTGAACGTATACGTCGGTGAGAGCTGTGCAGAGAACGCAGGAAGGAGTTTCTTTTCTGCTGGAGGTAGCGCAGTTTTGGAAAAGAGAAATATCCCTCGCCCCCCCCCCCCCCCAGCCCCTGCAGAGCGGTTTGTCGTATATACACGCTTAACGAAGGCGCGAACGAACGCTGTCGCGTCCTTAGAGCGCCCACCGTCATCGTATTCGAATCGACGAGGACGATTTGTGTAAGAACGCGAACGATCTAAACGGCTCTCGGCGGCGACGCCGAAGTGGTGCGCCGAGGTATTGACGAAAAGGCGCAACGAAAATGTGCGTGAGGTTTATTTTATACAACGGCGATTTTGCTGTCAATACGAATTCAGAGAGTGGCCTTGGGAAACTTGGTACTTTACCAGACACAACTGTTGCCAAGCTCGCAGCTTTTGACTGACAAGTCACCGCATGCAACTGTTACTCGTTTGTACAGCTTTTGCTCGGCTTGGGACTTCGCAGGTGTGACATTGAGATCAAATAAACTGCCTTTCCACCACGATGCCTTATTAGAATTGTTTGAAGTTTTTTTTTACGTTGAATAAATGTTTTTAGCGAGGTGCACCACGAAATCTCTCGACGTTTGCTAAGTACCGCAGCCTTTGGACAGGTGACGTACGTTCAGGTGAAGTTAGGTACGTTCCTGACGTGTCTTTTTACCAACTACCGACACATCAGTAGCGGCTGCGACATATTGGACACCTTTAGGTTTGTTATTTCTGTTTATGCGATGCATTAAAACAAGCACGTTTTTGTACGACTACTGTAGTTTGTATGTATGCGTTTCAGTATAACTACTAAATTTGAATAAATAACCAAAGAAGTGTTACGCGTCATCCCAGAGCCGCAATGAAGGTCGTGTCGTTAGGTGTGCATCCAGCATGTCAAAGCTTGTCTCAGACAACTAACATCAGTGTTGGTGGCAGTCTGACTTGGTAGAGTACTAGTGCTCTAAATGGTTAACTACTTGTGCTAAACACGTCATGAGTGAGTGTGGTTGTCGTGAATTCGTTCACGGCGTAATTTTCGTCAGCA